TAATAATAATAATAATAATAATAATAATTTTTATTTAGGCAAAGGTACATACATAAAGAGATTTTACAAAGTTTGTTGGCTTTATAGATAGGAGCTAGTACATACAATGCCTAAAGCCACTATTACGCAAAGCGTTTCGGGCAGGAAAAAACACTACTGACTAAAGCTTAAAACTAATGGGTAAAAAGAAAAAAATGCGTTGAGTGCAAATAAAAATAGAGGTAAAAGAGGGGGGAACATTGTTGAAAAAACAGCACAAATACAATTACAAATTATTACAGAAAATTACATTAAAACAGCGTTGATTTGTAAAACAAAAAAAAAACAAAAAACATACATGGGTTGACAATAGAGAGGTAAGGTAGGTTACAGGGAATTTATTAGGTATAGCTTCGTTTTTAACTTAAACTGGTTGAGAGAGGTACTGTCTTTAACATGGTTGGGAAGGTCATTCCACATCCTGGGCCCCTTGATTTGTAGAGCATTTCTGGTTTGATTAAGTCGTACTCTAGGAATATCAAAACTGTATTTATTTCTGGTGTGGTGCTCATGGGTTCTGTTACAACCTTCTATGAAGCTTTTGAGATCAGGATTGGCATTACAATTTAGCGTTTTGTATATGTATAATACACATGAGTGAATGTGCAGTGACTTAATGTCTAACATATTCAGAGATTTGAGTAGGGGTACCGAGTGATGTCTGGGGCCAGAGTTGGATATTGTCCTAATAGCTGCTTTGTGTTGAGTAATTAGAGGACGTAAGTGATTTTGGGTAGTAGAGCCCCAAGCACAAATACCATAGTTGAGATATGGATAGATAAGGGAGTAATAGAGAGTCACCAGGGCAGGGCGTGGTACATAATATCTGATCTTAGAAAGAATGCCCACAGTTTTTGAAACTTTTTTTGATATGTTTAGAATGTGTCCCTGGAAATTCAGCTTGTGGTCAATGAGAATGCCAAGGAATTTGCCATCTAATTTGTTACAAATTTGGGTATTGTTTATTTTGAGATTTATTTGATTAGAGGATTTATTGCCAAACAGAATATAGAAAGTTTTGTCAATGTTAAGGGTGAGTTTGTTGGCAGTTAGCCACAGATGGACTTTATTTAGCTCAGTATTTACTGTGGCATTTAGAGCAAGGGGATCAGGACTGGAGTAAATGAAGGTTGTGTCGTCAGCAAATAGGATTGGTTTGAGGTGTTGGGAGGCATTTGGAAGGTCATTAATGTAGATGAGAAAGAGGAGAGGGCCAAGTATGCTGCCCTGGGGAACACCAATGTTGATGGGTAGGGTGTAAACACTGCAGCCTCAATGCATGAGGCTGCAGTGTTTACATGGCGGGGATCAGCTGAGGGTGTTGACACTCCCGACACGTGCTCGCCCCACGCCCACCATATTTATCACCACGGCCTTCTTATCCTGCCATAGTAGTAGGTTCCCTACGCCCACTATAATTATCACCACGACCTTCTTATCCTGCCTGCCATAGTAGTAGGCTCTCCACGCCCACTATAATTATCACCACGGCCTTCTTATCCTGTCATTGTAGTAGGCTCTCCACGCCCACTATAATTATCACCACGACCTTCTTATCCTGTCATTGTAGTAGGCTCTCCACGCCCACTATAATTATCACCACGACCTTCTTATCCTGTCATTGTAGTAGGCTCTCCACGCCCACTATAATTATCACCACGACCTTCTTAGCCTGTCATTGTAGTAGGCTCTCCACGCCCACTATAATTATCACCACGACCTTCTTAGCCTGTCATTGTAGTAGACTCTCCACGTCCACTATAATTATCACCACGGCCTTCTTAGCCTTTCATAATAATAGGCTATTGGAGACAATAATAAAGAATGAAAGCATATTATGAATACTTTCATAAGATTATAGTAGTTTTGGGTAATCCATTTACATAACCACAGTACATTTGAAGAAGCGATTAGAATATTTAAACAAAGTACATAGAAGCATGTTTGTCTGGAGAACTTTGTAAAGACAGCGAGCAATGCCCCTTTTTATAATTAAAGCTGCTGGGAGGGTTAGGCTGAGCGGCTCCTATTAATAAATATATTTTTCTAAGCATGTGTTGGCATTACAATATACACGATATTCGTGTGTGAGAAGGTCACCAGTTACCAGGGGTACATTATAGCCGGGAGAGATGGGAGGTAGTGATTATGTGCACAAGACAATAACCGTTTGAAAATTTAGTCAGTCAACACTGCAATCGCGAGGTGAATACGATATTAAAAGCAACCTGTCCTCGGGATACTATAGAACTTATGTAACAGAAGGCTCATGGTTCCTATGCTGCTAATGTTCACAGTTTTCCCTGTGGTAGATCTACAGTTATAAGCTATCACAAGACACCAACCCTTCCTCAAGTACCATAAGTACGTCTCATGGTACCCGTCCAACCCGTTCTCCCCCTTACAGTTTTCAAAATATCGGAAATATCGGAAATCTGACTCACGAGCGATATTTTTCGGCCGAATTCTGGCTCACTGCACATATTTGGAAATGCAAATTACGACTTTTTATACCGAAAATATGCCAATTACTGAAAACGGCAATGGATCACATTATATATATATATATATATATATATATATATATATATATATATATATTGTGACGGTAATCTCTTTCAAGAGAGATTGAGCCTGCTCTTCCCTCCAAAGTACGTCACATCAACAGATAATATAGAAGATATATCCAACAAGTATCTCCAAAACGTTTTGCCCAGAGAGCAAAACATATCCAGCACACCGGCACACCTGCTCGCCCCTGCCACCGTTAACCGGCAAACTGCTTGCCCATCGCCTGCCAGTCGCTGATTGGCTGGTGTCCAGTCGCACCTGCCCCACCACCCTCCGCCACTAGTTGATGTCTGGGTTGCAGCGACCCAGAGAAGGCAGAATATTCCAGTGCTTCGGTCATATATATATATATATATATATATATATATATATATATATATATATATATATATATATATATATATATATATATATATATATATATATATATATATATATATATATATATTCTTTGAACAAGAATACTTGCATAATAGACAAAACCCAAGATTCAAGAAGATTACAAATTCTTGAGGCAATTCACATAAGAATAGAGCGACCTACCATGAACACCCAAATCACGGAACTATTTACTCTACCCACCATGAGAGTAAGGACAAGACAAGAACATATCGATGCCAACACAGAAGACAATGTCCAACATAACAGGCCAATTACACTGGATTAATCTTTGTGTTTGGATAGGAGATGCCTCGTATGGGCCAGTAAGCCTTCTGCAGCCCCTATGTTTATCCCTTATGTATCCCCCCATGTTTTCACCTTCATTGTATTATCACCTGACCTAATGCGGGTATAAAATCAACTAGTATTGTAAGATCTGTTCACTTGAGAATGAACCATGGAGGTTCGAAACGTCGTGCAAATTATACAAATAAGTGTAATACACTCTATAGTAAATCACTTCTTTTCTTCACCTTAAAAGTACGAAAATGAGTTTTGGAGAACTCCTTTCAATTAAGCCCTGATGCTAAGAAAATAGTTAGAGGGATAGAAGCCCTAAACCAGAAAATAATAAATACAGAATATGCGGTCATATTCAATGAAACATGTTTGAAAGAAAACCTGCTGCCAGTATACACCAATATATATATATATATATATATATATATATATATATATATATATATATATATATATATATATATATATATATATATATATATATATATATATATATATATATATATATATATATATATATATATATATATAATATGTACCCCTACTCAAATCTCTGAATATGTTAGACATTAAGTCACTGCACATTCTCTCATGTGTATTATACATATATAAAACGCTAAACTGTAATGCCAATCCTGACCTCAAAAGCTTCATAAAAGGTTGTAACAGAACCCATGAGCACCACACCAGAAATAAATACAGTTTTGATATTCCTAGAGTACGACTTAATCAAACTAGAAATGCTCTACAAATCAAGGGACCCAGATTGTGGAATGACCTTCCCAACCATGTTAAAGACTGTACCTCTCTCAACCAGTTTAAGATAAAAACGAAGCTATACCTAATAAATTCCCTGTAACCTACCTTACCCCTCTATTGACAACCAATGTCTGTTTTTTTTTAAAGAGCGCTGTTTGTCGACAGAATTGTATTTGTGCTGCTTTTTCAGCTATGTTTTCATTCCATGTTTTCATTTTACTCTTTATGCTCAATTAGTATTAAGCTTTAGTCATTTAAGTTTTTCATGCCCGAAACGGTTTGCGTAATAGTGGCTTTAGGCATTGTATGTACTAGCCCAAACTATAAATCCATCACTCTTTGTAAAATCTCTTTTATGTATGTACCTTACCTAAATAAACATTTGATTTGATTTGATTTGATATGTATCTAGTCGCCAGAACGCACTTCTCGGGCCTACTATGCAAGGCCCGATTTGCCTAATAGGCCGAGTGATTTTCTTTATTTTCAATAATATTTTCCAAATAGTTTTTGTAATTATTATTATTATTTTATATTAAGACCATAATTTATTGACTTAGTTGTGTTAGTTTGGGTTAGGTTAGGTAGGGTTGGTTAGGTTCGGTCATATATCTACGTTAGTTTTAACTCAAATTTAAACAAATTAACTTATACATAATGAAATGGGCAGACACAAATATATAATATTCTTGGATGCGTGAATGTGGTGGGGTAGGGGTGGGGGGGGGGGGGGGGTCAGTGCTCGCCCCAGCGCCACGCCGGCTGGACCACGCTCGACGCCGCCTCTCTGACCCGCTCTTCAGTACCAGTACAGCTGGTAGTGTACCTGTAGGCACCGTTGCTTAGCAGGTACTGAGGCCAGGATATCCTTTCATGATGCACCATGTAAAAAACAAAACAAAAATGGCCCCACTAGATGCTCAGATCAGTCGCCGAACCTTCAGCGTTGAAGCCAGCTCTCGTTCTCGTGCAATATTTGTAAACAGAATTAACGTCATCGCCTTGAAGCCTGAGAACTGGAAATTTTGTGTTGATGTAATTGTTTTTGAAAGTTGATTAATACATTTGGTGTTTGTGTTGGTCCTCCATGGATAAGGTTAGAAAATGACACACTAAATAGTCTAATACACTGGGTTGATGAGTTATCCTCCGTTCAGTAGGTGTAATACATCTTATGGCTATGTTCATCTTAATAATTTGAATTCAGTGTGTCAAGGGACAAGCAGCCAGTGTATATAATAACATAGCCATAATATTATTAAAATAATAACCCCACAAGAAGCTGCCAAACTCCTGGGTACTTATTTATGGGTAGGTAAACAGAGGCATTAGGTGATAGGAAATGCACCCAACCATTCGCCCTGTGTTTTTATCAACCATTAATGACGATTAGACGTTGAGATGTAGATCTCATAACCACACACTCAGACCTTGATAAAGCACTCGGGAGAGTGCGAAAGACTTGGTGTAAATTCCTTACGTAAATTTCACAAATGCACATGTGTGGGTTTTAATCCTAAATAATAATACTAATAATAATAATGGTTACTTAGGTTAAAGAACATACAAAATGAGATACAAGCAGAATGTTGGATTTCTAAATAGAGCTAGTATATACTGTGCCTAAAGCCACTAATAACAAACTGCTTTCAGACAACACTTATCCCCCCTGTTTAAATCCTTAAACATGCTAAACATAACTCTTGTGCCAATTACATTTACATAACCCTGTCCTGAAACTCTTCCTGGACAGATGTAATAGAACACACAATCACCACACCAGAAATAAATATATCTTTGATATCCCCAGAGTCAAAGTTAAGCTGTGTAAACACGCTATGCAAATAAATGGACTTAGTCTATGGAACTCGCTCCCTAACTAATTGAAAAGCAGTCAAACACTTATCTTATTCAAAAATTTAACCAAAAAGTACCTTATTTCATCCTCATAGTTTCCTACCTAGTGCTTGAAACTCGCACTGTATCTAGTGCTTCTCAATTCCCCAATATTATGTACCTATGCCATACAACTTTATCATTGTAATCATTGCTGTTATCTTATATCATGTTACTGTATACACATAGTTTGCTACATTATATCTTGCAATAATCCTCATTATGCTAAAATGTGTTTGTGGATAACCCTTAGATTTATTTTAATGTTAGCTACTTTTTTTGTCAAATTTCTTGTATTGTATTTTCTTGTACTTCAATGTATTTTTATACCTTCTTACAATGTACTTTTATACTTTCTTACAATGTATTTTTATACTTTCTTACAATGTACCTGTAATTTTTTTTCAATTTTGCTAGAAATTACCTTCTTAAAATTGTTAGATTAAGGATCTGCCTGAAACGCTGTGCGTGCTATTGGCTCTACAAGAATGTAAAACTTTGTCTGTACTTTCATAAACCTAATGTACCTTCTTGTATATAAATAAATAAATAAAATACGCACAGCGTTATGGCAATACTGTATATAATCAAGGGGGGACCTTGATAAGACAAGAAGCTTAGCAGCCTTCTTGTCCTCCAACACTGGAAAATATTGTACACAGCTTATGTCATGGCAGTTCTTGAATGGAATATAGTTGTGTACTATTTGCATGAGGATAAACATTGTATCTTTAGATAAAAATTATTGCCCAGTAGTGAAAGGTAACTTAAATCTAGTGTGTTAAGTGTCATCACTGCTCCTAACCACTCGGACTGGTCAATAGTGGTGATGGCCTCACTACTTGCAGTGTTGGGGGATCTATCTCAGACTGATTGGGCACCATTCCTTTCCACTGTCTTGGCCTAGATTTCCATGTGCTATAAGTTTTACTGGTTTAGTAAGACTTATAGCACAGGTCATGCCTGTTGTTTCTCTTCATAATTACCTTGCCTTTTGGAAGAACTGTCTGGTCTGCATGAATCGGTGATAAAAACTAGTCTTCTGTGCTTGGGATGATATAATAATACATGATAGGAAGGATAATGTATTGCAAGCACAAACTAATAATGATTCTTACCTACAGGTACTTGGTGAAAATAGTCAACCATTTTATTCTCCTTCGTTTAATGCCTGACAATATAAATTCATTGATATTTACTTGACAGAAATATGGCAGAAGCAATGGCTAAAGGAGACACCTCACCACCCTTTAAAAAATTGAGGTCAGATGACTGTAGTAATGCAGTTGATAGCACTACCGACAAGAGTTGTGATAGGGTAGAGGCCACTAGCGGAGAGGAGGAAATATTTTCGTCTTTTGAAAATTTTGAGATAATACGTGTCTTGAATAACAGTGAGGAACACAAATCAGTGGCTGTAGAGGGACGCCTCCAAGGCAAAGAAGGCACTGTTGTTGTCATGCTCCAGGTAATTATACTTTTCAAAATTTTTATTTAGATGAAATATTTGACAGATTTATTGTCCTAACTGTAGCTTTCCTTAATTTTTGTACTCATTCCCATCCATCAATCTAGTGCTGCTTTTCAAGATTAGTACTATATAAGCATAGGTTACCTTGTTTAGTGTGGGAAAAACATTCCTGGAAACTGGATCATTAAACATAGTACTGTATTTACGGCAATGAATTCCCATCATTGTCATTTATTACATGTGACCAACACACTAAAGATTCATTGAGTTATGGGAACAGTATTAGTATTGTCGTTGGATCTCTCTTCTTCTGATAGGTAATTTTATTCAGTATGAGTTCTTTATTTGCTAGTTATTTTATTGTGACTTCTGTTTTTTCTTTTAGATCTGATGATGAATACATGAAGCATTCGAAATGTCATGCCTCTTAAAGTAAATAATCTGAAACTAGATGTTAATTATATCAATGGTTTTCCTATTTATTTTAAAATTATTATTATTATTATTATTATTATTATTATTATTATTATTATTGTTATTGCTATATTTAGAGAGAATGAATGGGACAAGTGAGAAATTTTCAACAAGAGATTCCAGGAGGTTTTTGCAATAGAAGGGAAAGTGCCCGAACTGAGAGGGATGGTGTCTTTCGGTACTGGATGTCTTTGAGATTACTGTACCAGAAATGAAGAATGGAAGCACATGCTGAATCATTTAATACCTTTAAGATTATGGTGACCAGACAGAATCTCTGTCATTGATAATAATATTGAGCCAAAATCTTGTGCTGGCCACTTACTAAGATATATAACAAGTAACATGAAAATGGAGACCTACCAAATAGTTGGAAAACAGCTAATTTAATACCAGTAACCAAAAAGGGAGACACAGAAGGACCTGTAGCATATATGATTTTGTGTGAAAACATTCCATTCAAAGAGCATGGTGGTTTTCTATGTTTATTTAATAGTCTTGGTTACAGCCATCGAATGTTAGAAATGGTATGACTTGTCATGATAGCAAGCATCTTCGTCTCAACCTATGTGCTGCAGGTGGAGTCAATGCTGTTGGCAAAGTTACGTGCTTCATAGTGCTGAAGGTGGCTGGAGGAGACCTTGTGTGAGGCCTGGAGCCAAGAACAGAGAACTTGAGCAAAGCCGGGGTAGAGGGCTTGAACAAAGGTAGGATCGGAGTACTCATACGAGGAGATGAAAGCAGAGAGCTCGGATGTGGCCAGAAGTGGCTCTTTGTTCCATAGCGAGGCTTGTAGCATCTGGTGTGAAAGATGAAACACGACTGCCTATGCTGCATATCTCTGGCTGCATACATCTGTGTTCACTCCACCTGACCTTTGTGTTGGTCCTTGGTAGGTTGATCACCATTTGGTCTGATGAGAAGCTTGCTGGTTACAATCCTTGTTTATCATGCGAATAATTCACACAGAACAATCCCTGTGTGAATTGTTTGCAAAGGAGTTTGGCAGTTTCCAGGTTTCATTTTCTGTGAATCCTATGGTTGTCTGTAAAGCTTTGCAGACTTTCTGGAGGCTTTTTTTTTTTTTTTTTTAACTCCTGAAAGGGTTAAGGAATTAAACCTCATATTACTAGAAGATAGTCAGGGAAGACATGATTTCCATATACACATTTGTGTGGTGAACAGACAGTGGAGACAGATTATTTGGAATGGGCCATACATGTAAAAGAGGACATGGGGGGGAAAACTAGGCATCCAAATGAGGTATAAAGATATATGAAAATATTTTGTCAGAATAGTGAACAAATTAAATCAAGAAGTGAAGTAGTGGAAACAAACTTTACATAATGGTAGCTTCAAATGTTATGACAATATCCAAAAGGTCCCAGAAACATGTATACCAGTTGATTGAAGATTGAGTAGCTGAACTAAATAACCAAAGTTCAACCTCCAGCATGTACAACTAGACAAGTACATGCAACCTTACCTCTATCTTAAAATTACTAGATGCTTCCAGTATTCCATACTTCCAATTCACACGGCATATAAATCAAGCTCAATATTTGTCACTTGATGAAGGAACATACGTGTAGGGGTGGGGGGTATGTGGAGGAGGATGTGAGGGTTCTGCTTCTGAATTATTTGGAAAATTTCAGTTTGGTACATATTTGCTTCTAAGACCTATTTCAATTTTCTTGTGTGGTATGATACACTATGTATTTAGCAACCCATCCTCCTGTTTAGATAGTACCTATTGTGGCAATCGTCAAGTCAGAATTTGTACATTCTTAGTATACTACAGTACTATCTAAATGCTGACTAGTAAGGAATTCTTTTAAAATAAATGAAGCTAAAACACAAACTTAAATATTCCTAGGTCTAGTATAGCACACACATGTACTATATTAGGCCTCAGATATTGTGTACTAGGCCTAGGGAGGTTAGGATAGGTTAGTTTAATTTGTCAAAGCAACACGAGTAAAAAATAGTTTTCGTGTTTGCCCAACACAATAGTTCAGATTTCTACATTCTAATTTCGTTGTACGCCGGTATATATATATACTATGGTCCTCATCGTTACTATAAGTACTACCACAACAGGAGGATGGGCTGGTATTTAGAGACTAAATAGATGCATCTTAGTCTGATTTTATACAAATATTTTTGTGCATTGTTGCTATGAAATTATTATTGAATACAGCATATCTAATTCATGATTATTTCTCTCTCCAGAAACTTCCTTTCAATGCTGATAAACTGCAAGAAATATTCACTGGTTCTACTAATTTGAAAATGATATTTCAAAATGATGTTTATTACAACAAGTTAGCATTATTACCACCAGAGCTTAATGGTAAGCTTTTTATAATTTTAATAATGGTTTCACATTTGTAATTTCTGTACCACAAATATGCATGCACATTCTGCCTCAGATACTTGGAATAACAAGCAGTTTAGTAGGTACTCATAGAAGAATCATAGAAGTAATTATAATAATGCAATGCTGAGTACCTGTGTTTCTGAGGTTGCATTCTGGTGCTCCCAAAGGTGTGAGATCTGCTTCTTCATCATAGCAGCATTGGACAGTTAAGCACAAAATAGCATTAATACCACATGGCCAATGGCATCCTTTTAGGACTATTTTAAAGTGCTTGCAAGTCACCAGAGTCAAAATCAACTTGGCCAATATCAGTAAAACTTCAAACATCTTTTCACATGTATAAGCCTTTCAGTTTCATTGGCATCATACACTGCAACAACTAATACCTGTACTATCTATACAGTATAAGAGTGTGTGTGTGCATGTTTGTCCATGTTTAGAGGCCAGACAGCTACAGTTGGCCTAATGCAACTTTCTATGGTGAATTATAATTATATAGTTGGGTGGTGGGAGTTGACCCCATTCTCCCCCTTAAGTAGGATTGGATTCCACTGTGACAGTCGCGACTCAAACAACACGAGAAATGGTGTTTGGTGAAATTGTCTATTGGGTGTTAACAACAAGAGTTTTCTAGCTGTTATTGATGTTGACTACATTGATAATGTTGATTCACTGTCGCTAATGTTGATTTCATTTTACTTGAACATGTTTTGTCCACTGGGAGAGGTAAAAGGAGAGAATGGGTGAATGGGAGGGAGGGAGAATGGGAGAGGCAAGGAAATGGGAGAGAGCAGAGTAAGGGAGGTAAATGGGAGAGGGAGGGGGGGGGAAGAGAGGGAAGGGGAATTGGCTTCTGCACCTCCTTCTTAAGGTCGGTGGCCATAAAATGTGTGCAACCAAAAGCTGGTAGAATTTAGGACTCGTTTAAATATCAGTGTATTCGGAAACTATATTGATATGCAAAGTGAATGTTCAGACGAGTTTCATTTTGAACACAACCTTTGATTCCAGTGATGTTGATAATGTGAAGTGAAAATGGTTACAGCGGTAGGAGGATATGGGGAAGAGTATGAGTGGATAGAGATGGGGAGGATGTGAAGATGTTTACAGTGATGTGTGTTGTAAAAATGGTTATAGTGATGAGGGTAAGATGGGGGAAGGTGTAGTGATACAATGGTCCGTTTTATATTGGGTGATTTATCTGGGTTCTGCATCGTAGCTCGTGTATTTTCTTTGGGGTCTTATGTCAAAGAATTTTCCACTGTGTTTAATGACAATAATGTAAAGTAACAGTTGTGTAACTTTGATGTTTGTCACACTGGTTTCAGTTGCATAGGATGATGAGTGTTGCTATCTGTATTGCTTATCCCTTTCTTGGGGATATACCTAGCATATTCCTAAGCTAGGCATGGGATATGCTTAGCTTAGGGAGTGGGGATACCTCCCTTCATTGTCTATCAAATCATATATAGTGATATTTAGTTAAAAAAAATTTACAGTATATTAAACAACATTGTTTTATTTCTTTCATTTGCTCTTTAACATTTGAAAGCTCCAAGCAGGATTCATGAACATAGAAAAAGAAAAATATTTTTTTCTGGGGGGAAGCCCTGTCGGTTCCCCAGAGCTATCCAAGCTGATATGGATATACAGGGTATTAGCTTTCTGGCATCAATGTGCATGGAGTTCTTGCCTACTGGAGACCACGAGCCAGAACCTGGCCTCCCTCAAAGAGGCGCGAGGAGCAATGGCTTATAGAAACCCCCGTGTGGTTGGAAGCATTCTGTGTCTGCCATTGACCGGTTCTAGCACCTAGAAAGGTAGGCACCCCAAAAAAAACCCTATTCTGGTGAAAATATTGCTACCAAAGCCAAACGAGTGGACAGAAGTCCCCAAACAAAGATTAGCAAACAAGCTAACACGTTGCTCGTTTTATCACGTTGCACTTCATCACGTTGCCGTGCCACTGTCTGCGCAACTACCCTCCCATGAAGGGGGAGCCCCAGATTACTCGCGCCGGAAATGCACCCTTCAGTTTTTGGCTGATGTATTCTTGGCAGGTCGTGTGCCTCTGGCTCCAGATTTTGTCCCAGTTTCTGTGCCTTGTGGCATTGTCCGGTCTCTACTGTCGGTGTGCAAGCCAGAGTATTATTCTTCAAGTACTCAGGCTGCATGTGCCTAGGGTTTCCTTCCCTGGGTGCCCTGTAAGTACTGCCTTTGGGGCTTGGGGTGTCCATCCACAAGTCACCTTGGGGTCTACCTCCACTGTGTCTTTTACTGCTCGGTGCTAGACCACCCTTGGAGTCGGCTGGGGTTTTGTTACCCTTGTTTGCCTCTAGGTAGGGGGTAGTTTTTGGCACTGGTTGGGGTGCAGGGTACAGCGCAGCTTATCACCTCTCATAGTGGCCGGCTCTGTTCTGCCTGGGCACATTTGTCTTCTTGCGGGGCTTTTTTTTTCTTTTCTCTGCCCGGTGGAGGGCCTGCCTCTTGGTTGGTCATACCCTATTGTTCTTGGTGGTATCTCCACTAGGCCCCCA